TTCTCACTGGGTATTATCCAACTATATTATTAAAATTGAGTAATAGTTTCAAAATTAATATCTATAATAAAAAAATAATTGTATCATACTATTAGAAAATATGCTATCACAAGACCAAATTATATTAGAATTAGTTAAATAAGTAGGTATAATTCTTAGTTCTTATTATAATAATAAACTAATCGTAATAATCTACTTTCTTTTTGAAATTTTGCTTTAGTATTTTTTTAATTATGTTATTTGACTAATTATAGATTTATTTCAATTTTAACCTTTTCCTATGTGTTCTTAAAAGAATTTTTGACACTTTTACAAATTGCGCATATTTAGACTTTGCAATGTCGTTTCCCTTTAACTAATATATACTTTAAAATTATTTGTACTTCAAAACACGTTGTACATATATTTCGTACTGGAGCTTGTTGACATGGCAACACCGTACTTGTATGGCACATGATATACAGCCAGAAATATAGTAGAGAAAATATCCTCATTGATTACAAGAGCGTTAATGATAAACATTTGACTCTCTCAAAAATAAGATAGTGTGAGATTATATCTATACGCGAATAATCTCAGATAGGGGAAGTTTAGACATTTAAATTTTGGTTACGATTACTTCCACTGCAATAATAATTAAAGTTAGTAAACAGTAGATTAACCCATTGGATATATTTTTAGTAGTGTCTTTTGGGTTTTATGGTGAAGAAACTAGGGCGTCCGTCCATAATCCTAACGGCCCCCATATAGGAGTCGTTACATTATGTCATAGCTATGGTAATATTTACCATACCAACCACTCTCATAGCAACGATTGCTATGGCAATGGTGACCATAGCAATTGTTTTCATAGCAACCGTTGTTATGGAAATAGTATGAAAAGATTCTTTTAATTCATGAATATTGTTGTCAATCTCGACAATTTTTAATAGTAAATTATGCAACAAAGGCGTAATATGGTCACTCTATGCTATACATGTGCCAATGCATGCTAAATTCTCCCATATAACACAGCTGGTCAATAAAGTGTCCATTATTGCCCTAGGGTAATAATGACTACTTAATTGACCTGTGAGCAATGATCAATAAAATACAATTTATTACTGATATTTCGAGGCAATATTGCCTAAATATTCCCTCAATATTTCTTGGCAGTATTACATCAATACGAGAGGGTCGATTCTGTAACTTTTCCACTTTCCACCCCCCCACTTTCACTTCCCACTCGAACTATCTCAGGGTGTCTAACAAGGATTGAGAAAATAATTCCCTGACTTTTTACTAATTTTATTTCTGCTTTCTTGGGACAAAAATATGGTAACTGACATAAATATTTAACAATAAATTAATATCTAATGATAGAAACAAACGATAATAAAAATCTTCCAAGTTTTGTTAAATTAAAACAATTTTTTATTAAAAAAAATTTTAATTTTTTTATAAATTTTTAGAAATTTCTTTGACTTTCAATGAAATTCTCTGACATTTCCTGACTTCCCTGACCGTTAGACATTCTATTAATAGTTTCCACCCTTTGGTAAAAAATATAAATTTATAAAAAATTCGAAAAACCGAATTTCATTAAAATTCGACATTTTTTCTTTTGTTTTATAACATTAAGCTTCATTATTTTTGGGCTCTTCAAAAACACTTTACTAATTTAACAGTCTTTAACCTTTGGTATAAAATTTAAAGTTATGAAAAATTATCAAAAATTCGAAAAACCGAATTTTTTAAAATTCAACATTTTTTCTTCTCTCTTATGGCATTTACCTTCATTATTTTTGGGCTCTTCAAAAACACTTTACTTATTTATTTGTCTTCACCCTTTGGTTAAAAATTAAAAATTATCAAAAATTCGAACAACCGAATTTCTTAAATTCAACATTTTTTCTCCTCTTTTATGGCATTTAGCTTCATTATTTTTGTGCTTTTGGAAAATACTTTACTTATTTAATAGTCTCGACTCTTTGGTAAAAAATCTAAAATTATCGAAAATTATCAAAAATTCAAAAATCCGAATTTCTTAAAATTCAACATTTTTTCCTCAATTTTATGGGATTTAGGTTTATTATTTTTGTGCTTTTGGAAAATACTTTACTTATTTATTTGTCTTCACCCTTTGGTTAAAAATTAAAAATTATCAAAAATTCAAAAAACCGAATTTTTTAAAATTCAACATTTTTTCTTCTCTCTTATGGCATTTAGCTTCATTATTTTTGTGCTTTTGGAAAATACTTTACTTATTTAATAGTCTTCACACTTCACACTTTTAATTTTTGTATAAATTTTTAGAAATTTTCCTGACTTTCAATGAAATTTTCTGACATTACCTGACTTTTCCATGACTTTTTCCTGACCAAAAAAATTCCCTGACTTCCCTAACTTCCCTGACCGTCAGACACCCTGCTATCTGTTTTCCACTTATCACTCGTAATTTCACTTTCCACTTTTGTTTCCTACTTTCAACTCCTACTTCCCACTCCAGACTTTCCACTCTCACTTTCCATTCCCACTTTCCAATTTCACTTCCCACTTTCACTTCTTACTTTTACACTCCCTTCACACTTCACTTTCAACTCCCAGTTTCACTTCCAACTTTCCATTTCCTACTTTAATTCACACTTTCCATTTTTAATTTTCTTTTTTCTATTTTGAAAAACTAATTTTATATATTACTATAATTTTTTCCCTTATCTTATAAAATTTCATCATCAAAAATCGAATTTGTTTTTGAATAGAAAATAAAAACTCGTTAAAGTCGAAAGTAAGAAGTGAGAGTGGAAATGGGATGTGACAGTGGAAAGTGGGAAGAAGAAAGAGAGAGTGGAAATTGGGTGTGGAAATTAGGAGTGGAAAATGGGAAGTGAAAATGGAAAGTAGGAAGTAAGAATGAAAAATGGAAAGTGAGAGTGAAAAGTGGGAAGAGGAAAGTGGGAGTGGAAATTTAAATTGGGAGTAGGAAGTGAGAATGAAAACTGGGAAGTGTCAGCGGAAAGTGGAAAGAGGAAAGTGAGAAAAGAAAGTGGGTATGGAAATGGGAAGTGCCAGTGGAAAGTGGGAGTTAGATTTAAAAGTGAGAGTGGTCAGTGAAAGTGGAAAGTAGGAAGTGAGAATGCAAATAGGAAGTGACATCAGTGGAAAGTGGGAGTGAGAGTGAAAAGTGAGAATGGGCAGTGAATGTAGGAAGTTAGAATGAAAAATGGGGAGTGACAGTGGAAAGTGGGAGTGGAAAGTGAAAGTGGAAAGTAAGAAGTGCGAATGAAAAATTGGGAGTGACAGTGGAAAGTGGGAGTGAGAGTGAAATGTGGGCTGTGGGAAGAGGAAAGTGGGAGTGGAAATTGAAATTGGGAGTGGAAAGTAGGAAGTGAGAATGAAAAATGAGAAGTGCCAGTAAAAAGTGGGAAGAGGAAAGTAAGAGAGGAAAGTGGGAATGGAAAGTAGGAAGAGGATAGTTGGAGTGGAAATTGCAAATTCAGAGTGGAAAGTGAGACGTGAATGTGGGAGTGGAAAGTGAAAAATTACAAAATCGACACCCTGTCTGGAATTTTTGTCATAAGGCTTGCCACAGGATGGACATAATCAATGATGAAAAAATGTTGTCTCAACTTTGCAGGGTAATATTGATACAATATTCAACTCAAATTTTATGTTATTTAGATTCTCTCTTAATTTTTTGAATTTCAAACCCAGAGGTCTGCGTGTGAGTTTATATGTGAGCAATTTAGAAGCGCTCACTGGAACTTGAAGGTTTATTAGAGTAGACATCGGAGTGACTGGCGAGATATATAGAATTGGGGCGAGATACACGTTACTAATGACTTAGAGCAATTTTTAGATATAATTTATTTTAATAAAAGTAATATAAATTTAGGAATGTAGCTAAAGCTTTTAAAAAATAATTTTTTAATGTATGAAACGCTTAAATAAATTTTTTATTAAAAAATGTATTTCATTTTGAATTTTGCATTTAGTATATTTATAGTTTAATTGAAATTAAAGAAGTTCCATATTACTTGTATAGAAAATAATATTTCATATATTTATTACATATTACACCCTCTAAAAAATGTTCAAAGACGCGCTTGGTAATTAAAAATATTTATTACTACTTTTCTGAATATTTAATTTGTTTACACAAATTAACATTATTTATTTACATCTTTTCATTTTGAAATATTTGTTTTTAATCCAAATGGTACGACGTTAAATACATAACATTTTCCATCGAAGATAAATCTCGTATATTTTTTTTTAATCTTCTTCTAATAGAATTTGCCAAAAACTACTGAATAAATCTAACAAAGACATTATTTTCACACCCGTACAACGTTGAAATAATAATTCTGTTATTTCTCCGCGTTCATAACAATCAGTTAATATACTTCATTCACTTTTCTCGCATCTAAGCAAAATCTTATAGTGTCATCTTTTTTTTATAGAAATACAAATTGGATTGCAATACGACGTATTCATTCTTTTAGTTATATTGTTTAATTTTTAATAATTATTTTTATAATTATTTATTTAACCTTAATTTGTTAATTATTATATTTTTTATAATTATCCTACGAACGAAAGATAAAAATTATCTAATCTAGAAGTTGATAAATAGAAAGAATAAAAATCTGAATTACTGAATAATTACTAGAGCAGATTCCTTTAGTTAAGTTACAAAGCGACAAGTTGCTATGGTTACCATTTTTATAGCAACGGTTGCTACAAAAACAACCATTACAATATCAACGGTTGCTATGGTAACGATTACCATAGGTAACTGTTTCAAATGATTTTATAATTATTCAAAAAGAAATGTGTAATGAACTTGAGGATAGTTTTTTAAATTTATATTAATTGTTGGATAAAAGCAGTTTATACAAAAATGCATTTTTTTTTCTTTTGGTAACTTGTAGCAAGGTGAGACGACATATAAGAGAAAGGTTGAAAAGTCCTGACTTTATCTGGCTGAGATGTAAAAGGAGGAAGAAAATGAATAAATTCTCAGAGAGCTATATAAAAGTCTGTTACATTGCGCTCGATATCAAATCGTTTTAGTACTCGCGAGTGTCTCATTTCTTTTTTTTGCGTAGAAGAATATAAATCAAATGAAGATCTTGGTTTGTTATTTATTCTAATTAAATGAAAAAAATTTCTGACATACGTTAACTTTTCGATTTTGGAAATGTGTCGAAAATTATGATAATTAAACTTATTTTTTTTTATTTATTTGAATTTTTTTGATGTTATAGTTATCCGGGATGAAATTTAAGCTTCAGTTTGTTCTTAAATTTGTAGATTTTATTTAGGTTTCAATAGTCGTAAAGAAAGTTTTAATTTATTCATTAGGACCTATTATGCCATAAAATATCAGAATTTTTCATTTTTAGGTAATAAAAAGTAGAGTTTACAGTTAATAAAGTTGATGAATCTTGTAATAGTGTATTAAGCAAGAAGGGGCCAACGGCAGATTAAGTTGACGTTTGTAGGATAAGCTGACGTCAACGTAAATTTGGTTGCTTTGGTCTCATGTTATTTTTTATTCGAATAATACAAAAGTGTTGTTATCTTGCTAAGTTCCTCCGTATAGCCCAACTGCTCAAGAAAGTGACCATTATTGCACTAGGGTAATAATGAGTACTTTATTGCTCTAGGACAATAATGAGTACTTTATTGCTCTAGGGCAATAATGGTCCATAATACGCCGGAGTTGCATAAACATATTTTCATGTTTCCAAATCAATATTTGACCATTGACTGTATTTACACTTGACTTCTTTTTAATGAGTATAACTAACAATAAGAAGAAGCAATAAACATAAATTATATATCCAAAAATGCATAAAATCATTGCCTACCAACTTTTATTAAAACATCTCCTTCGTTATGTACATTAAAGATTTTCATTACTTTAATTAAAGCCTTAAAAGATAATTATAAATGTCTGCTTCAAAATATAGCATTCAACGTTTTACGTGATGTTATCTACAACACTCATTTTTAATATGATTCAAATTGAGTAATTAACGCTACCCAAAAGGCAGTCTAATTTTTTACCGTGAGCCTAAATATCATCTACGAAATTATATTCAAAAAGTGACTTAAATTTCGACTTCGGTAATTATTTCCCGACAAATATTTTCTTCTTTTTATCTTTCATTTTTTATATTTTCTTTTTTGTGTTTTATCCACTTTTTGTAATGATTTTTTTCATTTTAATTGAATTTGAATTTTATTCATTCATTTCATTTGTTTCACTCATTTATTTCAAACGGTTTTTTTTTTTCGTGAAAAAATCGTAGGTGTTTTTAGTAGCGACACTAGTGGTCGTGAAAGCTTATCGATACGGACGATTTCAAAGATCACCTCAACATCGAAGACCATTTCGTTCCTATTCTTTGCATAACGGTGCATCAAGTTTTAAATCTCGACGTTCACCACCGTGGGATTCGTTGCCGCCATTCATGAAAGCAGAAATGATGATGAACGATATGCCAATGATTTTAGAATCAAAACCAGCAGCTCCCTTACCACAGGATTTTGAGATTAAACTCCCGTCAATTATTCATGATCTTCCATCGTTACTTCGTAAACCGACAATTATTATCGGTGACAAAATACCAATCTTTCATGGATCATCGTTTATTATTCGTGATCCTCCACCAGCAATGATGGCTGCAGATGCTCCGAAAGCACCTGAACCTGCAATGATGCCGGCGGCACCTGCACCAATGATGCCAGCACCTGAGCCAATGATGCCAGAACCTGAACCAATGATGGTGCCACCTACACCTGCAGTAGCACCAGCAGCAGCTGCGGCGGAACCTCCGATGGCGATGTCATGTTCCAAACCTCCACCTCCATCATATGGACCATGGGCAGATCAAACTTTATCTCTACCACCAGAATTCTTTATGACTGATGAATCTAATCATTTAAGTGGAGGTATGTTTTTAATTTAGGAAAATTTTATTTAATAATTCACTTTAAAATCGGTAAACACGAGAAATTGATTATAAGTGACCGTGTCAACTGATAATTTTAAAGTAATTTGTAATAATTAATTTTTTGAATATTAAAACTTTTGCACATCACTATTGTATTTTAAACTTTCGTACAAAATTTCAGCTCAATTTATTAAATATTTTAAAGCGAAAAGTGATAAAAAAATTACCATTGAGAACCTAACAATCACATGCTATTAAGAAAATCCTGGAATGTTCTGGAGTATTCATTTGTTTTCGGCGATTCGGATATCTCCAGGACGTTCAAACTATATTCTGAAATACCCAATGCAGTGAGGATTGTTTTGAAAAAGAAATATAACATTTTGAAAAAATCTTAAAAACAATGATATTTTGAAAAAGTTTTGAAATCAGACATTAAAAATTAAGCATGCCATATTGAGATTAAAAACTTATTTTCAAATTTTTGAAAAGTTTATAAAAATGCCTATTTTGTTCAAAGAGTTTACATAGAAATAAGATTATGATCTAAAGTAATTATTATTTACTATTTTTTCTGAATAATAAGAACAGTTTGTATAATTTTTGTTTGATTTCAATAAAAAGTTTAATAATATTTAAATTCTATATTTAATTTCCAGACAAAACTTTTAAATTTTCCCTGACCCTAAATTATATTCTGATTTACTCTAAAAATTATTAGATACTCAAAAAATATTCTATTACATTTATTTACGAATTTCTATAATTGAAAAATTATTCGAAAATATTAATAACATCTTTTTTAAATAAATATTTAATTATTATTATTTTTTAGTAGGAAATAAAATTTTTCAAAACATTTCAAATTCAAACATTTTTGAAATTCAACAACTTATCATAATTAAAGATAACAGAGTGATAAAAATCATTATTTTATATTACATTAATATTGTTACTGTAACTTCCTCAAAATTATTTTCATCATTTCAATTCAATTATTATTTTCTAATATCTGTAACTAAAATTCTATGTTAGTTAGAATTGTTAGTTAAAAGTAAGAAAAATTCAGATTTTTAAAGATTTTAATTTAAAACATTTCAAAATTTAATTATTTCTAAAAATTCATGCTATAATGCTTTCAATATTCAATATTATTATCTAAAATTTTAACTGAAATTCATTTTTAAATCAATTTTTTAATTGATTTTTAAAATTATTTAAATTATTTAAATACAGGAATAAATAATGTATTATTTCTCAAAATTAAATTCTCATAAATAATTTTATAAATAAATTTTTAAATACTTGATTTCTTTCGACTATGTAATTTTAATAAAATTTTTGAGAATAATTACATTTTTCGAGGAATTTGATTAAAATTAATTGAACTCAGGTGGAAATATTCTCGGAAATTTTGAGGGAATTTTGAGGAAATTTCCGAAAATATTTCCATTTGGGAATTCTTAGAATGAATTTTATTATTTATGAAAAAACATAATTGAATTATTGTAAAGAAAATTTATAAAAAATTTGTAAACAATAGAATTCCTGTGAAAGTTTTATTAATTATGAAAATAATTGAAATTTTGCAAAAAATTTTATTAAAATTTTTAAAAATAATTGAATTCTTTTGGAAAACTTTAGAAAAATAGTAGATATTGAAAATTATTCAATTAAGTAAATTTTTTAAAAATAATTGAAATTTTGCAAAAAATTTTATTAAAATTTTTAAAAATAATTGAATGTCTGTGAAGAATTTTATTACTTTTGAATATAATAATTGAATTTCTGTAATAATTTCGAGATCATTTCTAACTTCTGCAAAATTCAATTTTTTTTTTAGTATTTTTAAATAAAATTCTTCTATAAATTCATTATTTTTTAATAATTAATTGAATATACACATATTACAAAATTTAACTAATTTCTGAAGAATTAAAATTATTTAATATTTTTCAAAAATTTAAGTTTTTTAAAATTTCTAATTAATTCATTCAAAATTCAAACTTTTTAAAATTTCAAATTGAAACTTTTTGAAAGTAATTAATTTAGAAAAATTGTAAACTCAACTCTCGTAAAATTCAATTATTTTTCAAACTTTTAAGAGTAAAATTATTTATTAAATAATTTATAAGTAATAATTTTATGATAGTTCTTCAAGAATTAAATTATTTAACAAGAAATTATTGTTAGAAATAAAAAAAAATTCAAGATTTTTGCCAGAATTCAGAATTTTTTATGAATTCTAAAAATTTAATTTTTTGTACAGTACTTTTGAATAAAATTCTCCGACTTTTATCTAATTTCCCTGACCAATTCCACTTTTTTTTATTTTTCTCTGACTTCCCAGACCTATGGCAATCCTGAATTAATTAAAAATAACTAATTTGATGGTAAAAAGTCAGCCACCGATTTAAATAGTAATATTAACTGAAATTTTTAATAAATAATTCGCAATTAGTGAAATTTGACTATTTTGTAGTTTTTTATTTACTAATAATTAGTAATTATCTACTAATAATACAATTGGGTATTAAAAAAAAAAAAAAAAAAAAATTTAAAAATTTAAAAATTAAAAAAATTAAAAAAAAATTAAATTAAAATTAATTAATTTAATTAATTTAATTAATTTAATTTTAAATTTTAAAAAATTTAAATAAACAAATAAATATTCATTTTATAAGATTAATCTAAACTATTAAATGTATTAGTTGTTATATAAAGTTATATTTTTGATTTCTTTTTTATTTGAACTTGATTTAGACAGTTAAAAAAATGAAATTATAATATTATGGAAATTTAACAGTGGTAAAACGTACATTATTCACAGTTCATGAGTTCAATTTTGTATTGTTGAAAATAACGAAATTCAATATTTGACGTTAACTTAGACATGAATGGGGCTGGAATTGTTTGGGATACTCCTCCAATTTCTCCCTTGCATCCCTGGGCATCGATGCCAAAAATGCCAACAATGGTAGAAATCACAAGCACTGAAGCACCAGCAACCGAAGCTCCTACGACAACACCGCCACCACCAGAGCCGACAATGGTAATTGCTAGAATTTTTACTTTTGTTTAGCAAATATCGATCATATAAAGAATTATTTTCCAAACCATCAAAAATTAAAAAAATATATTAAGTGATTTTTTTTAACTTTATTACTGCCAAAGTTTTTTGTATGTCAAGAATCTTAGAATTTCCATCAAAATTAATTTAAACTTTTGTTTTAATTAATTTTGAAAATATTAATTCATTTTTAAATTAATATTGAAAAAAGCTTAATTTTTTCAAATTGAAGAAAACAAGGAAGAAACCTTTTAAAAATATTTTAACTATAAAATAATAAAGAAAATTCCATACTTATAATGCAAATATGAAATTATGATTATATTTAATTATTAAGTATTATTATATTAAATTATTATATTAAATTGTATTAAAATTAAGTTTTATGATTTAATAAACAATAGTTGTTACACTTTCATGTTGATTTAGAAATGTAATTGTTTCTAAAAAATAATTGAATTGAATTTGATATATTTACTGCTTAGGAAAATTGTCAAAATACTAGCAGATCTGAAAGAAAATTATATGTAAAGCGACATGAGAAAAAGTACCTATCAACTAAAAAAATCGATTTTCAGTTTTTGGTGCTATTCGCTTTAAAAGCTCGCTCTGTAAAATGCATGGTTTCAGTGATGGGTACTTTATTTTATGTCGCATTACATGTTAAAAATTAAAATCTTGAAATTCAAATTCAAGGATTTCAAAAAGCAATAAATGTCATAGAAAATAGTAAAATTTATATTTTCGAAATTTTTAGCCTATCATAATGAATTTTGAAATTTTTAATTCACATTCGTTATCGGCAACCTAACAAAAACTATATTTTATAAGAGCGGCAGTTGTCAATCTCTCTTGTGCTTTTTATAATCAAAAAAAGACAGAAAAATAGGATCTTTATATCCTTATTATTTTATAAATTATTGATAATTATTTACATATTTATTTATTACATATTATTACATATTATCACATATTATTACATATTATTACATATTATTACATATTATTACATATTATTACATATTATTTACATATATTTACATATTATTTATAATATTTACATATAAATAATATAATTATTATTATATAAAACAATATAATATTCATAACAGTATTTTGAAATCCAAACGATTTTAAAAAAATTCTACTTTATAAAAATATAAACATTTCTAAAAAATAATGATTCTTTTTACTATTTTATAATTTTTCGGAAGAATTATTTTAAAAACTATAAAAAATTAAAAACAATTTTAAGGTTTATTAATTGGTTGGAGTTTTCTGCTTAAGTGGATAATTGTGATTATAAAAATAGCAATGAAAGTTTGTAATTGTTTCTAGGCACCAGAAATGACTAGTCCTCCTGTAGAAGCGCCAACAGATGCTAGGTGAGTGGAAATACTTGTTTAGTTTCCTGAAATTTTTTTTTTATGGATTTACGATCACCAACCTTGAATGGAATGAAATGTAGAAATTTCTATTTTTAGCCAACAAAGTTGTTCTGCGACAGTAATTAACTATACTGAACATATTTGTACCTATAAATAATGATTCTATCACTTGATTATTTTAATTAATAAAAGAATGAAGTAAAGAATTATTCCAAGTATAGAGGTGCAAAAAGGAATGATTCTTTAACTTTAATTCTTTGAACACAGTAGTTCTCTTCAGAAACTACAATTTTTTTTTAATATACACAAATTTTTAAAATTATAATAAATTGTAACAAAAATAGTTTACTTAAAAGAATATTTTCATTGCAAATTTCTATTATAGAATTTTAGCCCCCTCTCAGTACCCTAAAAAATTACATTATTTGTAAACTATCCCTTAATTTTTTTTGAAAATTTTATGCATCTTTTATTTTTAATATTTTTTATTGTTTACTTTTATTTTTATTCAACTGTTTTGAATAATCAAAATCTATTTTCATTTTCGTATTCAACGACCCCAAAAATTTCTGAGTGCGACTAGTTTCAAGCAAATTCAGTCGATGTTGAATTTTCATTGCCGACATATTGGATCCGCCATTTTGAATTTTTAAAAACTAACCACAGATTCGTAGTGAGCGACCATATAAAAACTCCAGAATAACGAAATTCAAGTAAATTTTAATTTTTAATTTTCATGTCCGCCATATTGGTTCCGCCATTTTGGATATTTAAAAACCAACCACAGATTCGTATTCATCGATCCTAAAAACTATCGAGTGACTATTTTTAAATGAATCTAGTAGATTTTAAATTTTCACGTCCGCCATATTGGATTCGCCATTTTGAATTTTCGAAAAATTGACCTCAGATTTGTATTCAACCCCAAAAAAATATTACATAATAAAGTAATTTATTGTTAAAAATTATAGTGAAAATTTATAAAATCAGTTTATGATATAAAAGTAAAGAAAAAATGTTGACATCTCAACAGTTGGAAAGCATATTACTAGAAAATGATTTTTTTTATGTAAAAGGGAAATTTTTTTCTGTTATCTATTTGTATATAATGATTTTATTATTAAGAAATTGTGGTTCAGAAATTTTTTTAAAAAATGTTCATGTATAAGGAACATACCAAAACTAAAATATCCTTTAATCCATTGATAAATATAAAATAGAAATGCAGAAAACTGTGAAAGAAAAAAAATGTGACGCAAAGGGTTCAGATATAGTTTTAAGCATAAAAATAAACTACTTTTCATTTATTTTTATTGTGAGATGTAAACGGCTTTAGAGACTTTGTTTTTATATTCCTATTTACTTTTGTTTTGGATTATCCACAATCTTCAATATTTTTTTTGATATTTTTTGAAGATTATTAAGAAGGTGGCCATTTTGGGGCCACTTTTTTTTACATCGAAAATTATGACAATTTGAAAAAATACTTTAAAAAAATTTTTGTCCTATACATTTAACCAAGTTTCTGTAAGAAAGTAATTTAAAAAAAAATTGTTTCTTGAAGTTACTTTGTGGATTTCATGGGCCAAATAAAATGTCCATCAAAATTTTATACATCCGACAACTTAAGTGTTCCCGAAAAGTTTATTAAAACTAACTGAAACTAACTGCATCTACAAACCATTTTGAAATTAGAAGCACTCGCATTGCATATAGACCATTCGTCTAATAGGTTTTCTTGTCAGAGAAGAGGGAAACTGTATAAAACTTCCTTCTGTGAGTAAAACCGGTTTATCGACAGTCGAGTTCTAATGGTGTTTTTTTGATCGACAGGCCACACCATTATTCTAGGACGTTACACCTCGTTTGATATATATCGCGATTGCAGTGAAAAACATCTGGATCGGGATTCCAATTAGCAACGGCGCTATATATAATGCATTGCATAAATAGCGATAAAATTTTAATTTTTTGTTAAAAATCTATTTGCGAATGATGATCATAATTAATTATAGTTTGCACCCCAATATAAGTAATCTTCATTTTAGTGGATTCCTCTTTTAATGCATTTTTTTCTCTAATGCTAAATTATTTGCGACCAAGGAATAAAAATATATAAGTTGAATATACTTTTGTCTTGAAAGGATAAATTCATAAGTAATTAGAAATGGATTTTTCATCTTTTAGCCTTTTTGTGACCCCGGAAAACCCGCAGAGATTGGATTTTGTTGAACCTCGTTACTCAGGGGTTTCTGGGGTCGCTGATTACGAATCTAAAGTCAGATTTTCAAAATTTCGAAAATTCAAAATGGCGGATCCAATATGGCGGACATTTTTTTTCAAAATTGCTCAAATTTGCATAAAACTTATTACTCGGGGGTTTTCGGGGTCGCTGATTACGAATCTAAAGTCAGATTTAAAAAAAATACAAAATGTTGACCCTGAAAACCCCCGAATAACAACTTTCTTAATATGAAAAATAGGAACTTTTGCAGTTTCTTAGAATTTCTGCTTTTTTTATATTAGATGCTTAAAAAATAATTACTATTTTAATGTGGGGAGAATTTACGCTCATCGTTACTGACAGTAATAATTAAAATTAAAATTTATAAAAAAAATACACAAAACGAAGGCATTAGTTTATTTTATGAAAATTTTTCTTCCTCACTTTAATAATCGAATAAATTACTACAAATAGCAGCATGTCCTCACTATAAAAAGCATATTGAATAAAAAAAGAATAAAAACTTATTGCGCAACCATATATGTTATAGAATTCAATTACGCATCTTTCAAATTTTCGTAAGCTTGCATCGATTTCAATGCAGAATCCGTATTCAGTGACTCGTTTATTTCCAAGAGATAAATTTTTATTATATAGAACCGTTTATTTTCAATTGTTAGGTAAAATAGTTCACTTTTAAAATTTTTTTTTGGCAGACATCTTCTATCCACCATTTTGAAAATTTCTAAATGACATTAAATTTGTAATTAACTACCAGAGATGCACGTAAAGTATATTGAGGTTTTTTTGTAAATTTTTACAAGTTATTGCAAATATTAAAAACTACTAAAAAATAAAATTTTAATCATCGTAGAGTAATCTGAATTAAAAAAATGAAATAATGTTAATTTTTTTAAATGAAATATTTTTATTTTTTTTTTTAAATAAATGATGATGATAATTATATTCAAGAAACAAAATCAGTGTCGAACAGGATAATGGAAAAAATAACTAAAGATTAATATAGTTAATTACAATTTTTTTCATTATGTAAATATTTTGAAATTAATAATTACTCAAAATGAAGGACACTTAATGTACTTTGATATGGTCTGCCGCCTATAGGACTTTAATTTTTTAGTGTAAAAAAAAGGAAAAAAGTTACCTTAAACTTTTAAGGATTTTCAACGTTTTTAAATATTTATAATTCCTCTGGCGATAAATGAAAAATTCCAATCCATGTTTCAATATTTAAGTTGGATCTTTTCCACCCTATAAAGTATCTCGTTTTCCAACACCAGCCTTTGATATAGGGTGAAAAAGAAGGTCTGACTAAAATATTGAAACAAGAATTGGTTTCTTTCATTTTTCACCAATAGAATTATTTATGTTTAAAAATTTCAAAAACCTTCGAAAGTGCAAAATTTAAGGTAATTTTTTTTTCTATAAAATAAAAATGGCTGTGAAAAATAGAAAAATTAGATAATCTTGACTAATTGAATCAGTCAAAAAAAAAAAAATAAATAAATAAACATTTTAAAAATTTAAACTTTAAATAAAATTTAAATTTTCTGGAAGAAAAAATATTCATTTTCAAGAAAATAAGCCATATTGCTTGAAAACTTTGATGCTAACAATAAGTGAAGCCGCATGGATGTAGAAGTCATATATATATTAAATGCACGTTCGTGATGTTCGAGAGCTATCGGTATTCATTAACTTCACGAAGGCAGCACATTAAAAAATTGGCAAACAGCACATTTTGTTAATCTATACATGACCAACACGTGTCATGATCAATAAATTCTATTCTGCTTTGGACCAAATGAGAAAGTCCTGGTTTAACAAATTTTTAAAGTGCTCTCTAAGAAATATTTCGAGACAGACCTTATAATAATTTTCAAGAGATTCTTAATTATCGAAAAAGTTTAAATATAATTAATTTTGATGTAAAAATATTTTTCTATATTAATTATCAAACAATAGATTGTATGTACATATATATGAGGGTAAATAAGTTTAAAATGATATTTTCAGCCACTACATAATTGTTGATTTTGCAATGTTGGAATTTGGCGTTGTTATTTTTTCATTAATTTTTTGATGACTTGTATACATAACAGACAATATTAATTATGGTCCAGCAAATATCGAAGCAAATTATATTTATCATATTTTATTCTATTTATTCTTGCCTTAATTAAATTCATGAGGTATTTCATTTCAAAACATTCCACCGACAAAAAAAAAACAATCGCAAGGAGAGCGAGTTTCTAATAAATTTTATTATATAAAAATTTAATTATTTGTAACATACAATACTGAATCGAAAGAGAGTTTCATGAACTTTCTATAGTGTTATTTTTATTTTTTTTTTAAATTTCTCTCAATTTCGTAGAGAAATTCCTGAATTTTTTGTTTGCCGACTAGGAATTCGAAGCTATAGATTGAAAAATTTCCGCTACTAGCATAACTATTTTAAATTGTTTTAAGGCTGAAAATGTTTGTCAAATATTCTTTGGTAAACAGTTATGCATGAGAAACTTTTTTTTGGAAATAAATTTACAAAAGGAAAATTAATTACATTCCTTCTGTAAATGATGACATCGAAAATGTTTTTAGTGAATAAGCCGTATAAGTGCACTTTAATTCTCATCCACGACCACTTTCTCTATAATCTTATTTCTGATGGTCATAACGTTTACTTTCTACGTTTAATGTTTTCTTTTGTGCTTTGCCACAATACTAATCCTGCTGCTTCAATAAATGCAGT